TGTACACACGCACACACCTTCCTTACAGATACACACTGGCGTGTACACACGCACACACCTTCCTTACAGATACACACTGGCATATACACACATACACCCCCCCCACACACCTATTTTTTGAGCATATTCGCTGGAGGCCACTTCTGGGCATTTCTACTCCGCTCTTGCCTTTGACCTGTGAGGGTGTCTCTGATGTTCACTAGAATTCTCCACTTGACTTCTTTAGGGCGAATAAAAACACCGTCTTGAGAAGTGGGCCCATTGTAGTCTTCTGGTTTTACTGTTTTCTCAGCGAATGGCCTTGCTCTGGCGTTTCCTGAGCATTTGTACTTCTCAACGGTCTTTTCTCCTAATGTTAGTGAACATCGCTTATTAGACTGAAAAACAAAGAGAAAATTCTGTTGCTTTCTTCTTCCTAACCGGGTATGGGAATTCCTAACCTGTTAGTTGATAAGAGCTAGGACTGTCTTTCTAAACAGTACACACACACCCACACACACAGATGCACAGACGCCACGTACATGTTAAATTCTTCGTCCACTTCCAGTTCAGCATCAGCATCGGCTACACCAAGGCCTGGGATATCCCTGGTGTTTCACAAAACTAGCGTCATCTTAACAGCCTCCTTCTCCACATATGCGTCCTCTCCGACCTCTGAAAGGCCGTCATTGGTTTTTCTGCTCCTGCAAAGCTACTGCTTGTCTTCTGGAGATAAATTGCTCCAGGGAGTGGTTCCCATATTCTTGACTTGAGGAGAAAAAAATGTGAGGGGGGGGATGTTTAACATAGGTCTGATGATATTGTGGCCAAGCATTTAAAAAATCCAACCCTACTATGTTCTGTTGATCATTTCATAAAACATATTTGATCACCAGAAAAGGTAGAAAAGGATGAAATTTCAGAATAAGGGAAGTCCTTTAAATTAAAGAAATTTTCCTTGATGAAAAGTCTGCATGTCCACTGTTTTTTATGATTTCACTGAGAACTGGGGAAAAGGTAGTTATTACACTGGAGACCTGTTGGCTCGAGGGCATCTTTGATTTCATTTCTCAAAAATCTGGTAATACTCCTAGTCCCCACTCACTTTTAACTCTACGTTTTTTGGAAAAGTTTTATCACTATTTTATTTTTTTTATTTCTGGTGAAAATATACACGAGAACATACAGCCGTTCAACAGTGTTGACGCGCACAGTCCATGGACAGTGATGACACTCTTCTTCCGTCACCATTCTGCCTACCTCTGCCCGTCCTGTTTTACCGTCACCTTAGACTCTCTGCCCCTTAAAGTTCCCCTCTGTGTATTAGAGTTCCTGTGGTCCGTTTAATCTTATATAGACAATTCTTTAAAAAGCGCACGGTGCTCAAGGCGAGCATACTTGATTAAATGAGCCCAGTTGTTGTTTCGTTAAAGATGACTTCCTGGGGTACTTTCCGTTCAAGGCTTAAATGTTGTTTGCAGACAGTAAATTTGGGGGTTCCTCCTGTCTCAGTGGGTCCAGTAAGTCTGGTTTCCAGATCTCTACATTTTTTTTAAATCCATGTTGGTTCTTAGACAGGAAAGTGTCTGGTCAGATGAATCTTTGTAATGTATATTATCTTAATAAAAAGTTTATTGATACGGACATTCTCAGGCATATTTTATCTGTTTTGGATTTTTATTTGGTGGCATTTAAAAATATTTTTTCTTTTTTTTAAAAAAAGAACTATTTATACATACAGAAGGATGCAGTGGATAACGTTAGAAGTCTGTGTAATGATGGTTATATGATTTAGTCTTGCTTGATTCCTCTTTCTTTAGAAATAAGACACATTGTTTTAACATTACTTTGTAAAGTTTACTATATAAATATCATATGTTCCAGAAATTTTGAAAATAAATAATACAGAAGGAGATTAGATAAACCATCCAGAAAGAAACAGTCTTTATATTTTGGTGCTTTGGGTTCAAGTCTTACCCAGCTTGTCTATTTCCCCTTCTCCCCCGCCCGCCCATTATCAGTCTGACCTTCTTATACCTGGTTGATAACATTGACCATCTTCACTTTTTTACCTTTTCATGCAGACAGTCAAACTCTCCACCACCCATCAGACGCCAGCCCACCTGGAGCCGGTCCTCCCTGGTATGTATGTATCATTAGTAGTCAAGTAGGATAACCGCAGGAAATGCGTACGGTGGTCCTTTGTTATTAATTTGAGGAGAGAGGCGGCGAGAGCCTGTGATAACACAGATGGGCATCAGTCTGTCAAGCAGGTGCGATGTGTATCCATGCTGTCTCCCCGTACCTATCCATGTCCCTCACTTCTTTAAGTACAGCTTAAGATTTACTCATGAGTAAGGCTGGTCCACCTTATTCCAGCTGACAAGACTATATGCCATTAGCATTCAACCTGTTGTTGCTCATCTGTGGGTTTGTAGCTATTTCTGGTTGCTATGTGTAGCTATCCCTTCAGTTATAAGCTTCACAAATTCTTTTGTATTCACTGCTGTAACCAGTCCAATTGCTGTTGAGTCGACTCCAGCTCCTGGTGACCCCATGAGTGTCAGAGTAGGACTGTGCTCCATAGGGTGTTCGGTGGTTGATTTTTCTGAAGAGTTGAGCCATTATATCACCACACAATAATTCCTGAGTGTCCACGTGAACATTTGTATTTGAAGTATTATATACAATGTGTCCCGCGTAGTCCTTTGCCTTGGAGATCTAGAGGGTCGCCTTGGGCTTTTCCCCTGGAGTGCCAGTAGATTTGTTCATGACGCGGGTTTCTTTATTCCTCTTGGTAGTGTTTTCTTCCTTTCTTCTTTTTTAAAGTCACAAGGCTTAGTAAGTGAGGTAACTTCATTATTTTCCATGGAACACCGTGGGAGGCAGAGTGGTTTAAGCCGATGTTGGGATCTGATCTCTTGTCATAACTATCTTGAGAAGGTGCAGGAGTTTTCCTGTTTTATTTGGATGAACACAGTCTACAGGAAGCCAGCTCATGGCTTCTCTCTCTCTCCTGCCCTTTTAAACCATTTCACCAGAAATTTCTTGGGATGAGGGAGTGCAGGACCAGATAACATTGTATCCTTTTGGCTTCCTTGACAGTAACCAGGATGGCAGATTGTGGTTTTTCTCTTGCCATTCTGCTGCTTACGTTACGCTGTCTGATTTGTTTCTGGATTAGCAGGTCTGGAAGGAAATGAAGTATGTAATCCTACAATGGTGTTTGGAAGACTGGCTGTCATTGTCCTTTGCCTGTATACTTATGTCATTTCATACACAGTCACTTACTGGATTTTTTTTTTTTTTAAATAAGAGCAAGAGGAGGGTAAGCCAGCTCTGTCTTGCCATGTGTTTCTGTTCACTTGTACAGATCCTTCCCCACTATCTAAAAACACGGCTTCAAACCTGCTGTCCTTCCTCAGAAACGTTGAGTTCCTTTCTCCAAGAAGAGGGAAAGTGTTTTTAAATTGCAGCTCAAACAGCAGCCAAAGGGACGTTTGGGAATATTCAGGAGGACTGATGGCACACCTTCTCTTTGGTTTCCTGAACTACTTTGTTAGATTAATTTAATTTCAATTCTTCATTTCGTCTCTCTTGGCTCCTTTTAATTTTGGATCCCTTGTCTCTGTCACCTTCATTTGCCCTTTCGATGCTCGGACATTTTGTTCTGTAGCAAAGGAAGTCGTTGTTGATGTGTGCTGGCGAGTTGATTCCAGCTCATGGTGAGCCTATAGGACAAACTAGAACGGCCCTGTGGGGTTTTCGAGGCTGTAATCCTTACGGGAGCAGATCATCGGGTCTTTTCTCCTGTGGAGCGGCTGGTAGGTTCGAACCACTAACCTTTTGGTTAGCAGCCAAGTGCATAACCTGGCGAGGCTCCAGAGGACGCGGTGGTGGGTTATTCACCTGGCTTCATGCTCTGGCGAGTGTGCTTCTTCTGTTGATGGATGCTTTGGGTTTCTTAGCTTGAGTTCAGCTTCTTGTCTCCTAAAACAGCAACCTTTCAAATAACATCTCTAAGGCTAATTTAAAAATAGTCAAATGTAAATATGAGAGATTATCTTGTTGGGTGGCTTACAAACTTAAGGAGTTTGTTTTTCTTTAGCTACAGAACTCTTCTTCAACAAACTGTTACATATAACCCTAATATCTAAATAAAACGGCTAATGCATTAGGTAGGGGGAGCGAGGGGGAGGAGACTTCACCTGACTGACAGGAAATGAGACCCAGCGAGGTTAACTGGCTTGCTGTAGGTCACGTTAGCCAATAATCATACCCGTTTTTTCTGTTGGCTTACCAAGTGTGTAATCGGAGTGTTGCTAATGTTGTTTTCTCTCTAAAAGTTAGTTGTTCTGTCTTCTGTAGCATAAACTGACTGGATAATTACACACCAGTTGCTGTGGGTCACACTTCAGGTGTTTATAGAAGTTTCTAACTGGGCCCAACTTCATGCTAGCCTCTCCTTATTTGAGATTAATATGAGCTGTGAAATAGAGGTCACAGGCACAGCTGTACTGATGTGCTGAGCTGGTGGTTCCAGGAGGGAGCCGAATTTGAATAGAGTGAGACGGTTTCCACCTTAATCTCTTATTATTTCTTAGGTGAGCCGTAATAATGTACCCGTTCTGTTTTTCCTATAAAAACTTTGCAAGTGTCTTAGAAAATAGATAATAAATACAGTAACACCAGGAAGCCCGGAACCTGTGTAAAGTGGAAAGCTCTAGAGAGGAAAACTCAGCATTTTTCACTAATAGAGAGGGATGAAAAGGTGTTAAGACCACACCTTGTCGAAGGCGGAAGACTTACGGGACCGGGAAAAGCGAGGCAGTTCTGTCGAGTTCCTGCTGTCCCAGGTTTCCCTGTCGCTCCCTGCAGCCTGTTGCTGTGATCTCTTTCTGTCTTAGAACCAGTGTCTTCATTTCTCCTTCCTGTCTCCGGTCCCAAACGTGGCAATGAGGTGGGGACACGGACGCGGACTAGAGTGTCAGAGGGTTGACAACACGCGGTGGGGTGTTGCCCTTTCGACGTGGATGAGCGGGGTCCAGCCTGTGCTCGGGCTGTTCTCTGTGCGTGGTGGCGGGCCTGCCTTGCCCACGTTGCTGTGCTCTCTCTTTCAGCCCCGGCAGCAGCCGTACATCTTGCCGCCCATGCACGTCCAGTGTGGGGAGCACTTCTCAGACACCCACACTTCACAAGGTAACCGCCTCCCTCTTTCCCTCCCTGTGGCAAACAGCTGAGTGCTGGTAAGTGGTGAGGACGACTTGTGTGTCTGTAAAGGACAGGACCATGGTGCTCTCGTTACAACTCTGTCATCATCCGCATGTGGTAGCCAGCAGCTTCAGTTTGTGAAAGGCATAGAGTAGCGTTTACCCGGGAAAGAAGAGTGTCCCGGGATTTGCCGCCAAGGCAGCTGGGGACGAGGCGGTGAGTGAGCGGGCTTACAGGAGAGAGTGACAGCGAAGCCCAGCTGAGTGCCTTCACTCTCAGTGCCACCGTCAGAAAGCTGGCAGCTGTCGGTCCGTTTCTTATGGTGGCAGGGAACACAGGCATCCAGAATAATCGGGAGAAACGATCTCACCCCTTGTGTTAGCTCTTGCTTCCCGTCTCTCCCACCAGCCCTTCCCAAGGCACTTACCTGTTCCTTCCTAGAGTAAAGGAGAATTCTTTTATTCCGAACTCTTTCTCTGCCTAAACACTCACATGCAAAGTGTGTGAGAAAGCCCGTTTCCATAATAGTAACAATTTTAGTCATAACAAGTAACGTTTATAGAGCATCCCGTGCCAGGCCGAGTTCTGAGCATGTGCTAGGTACTGTCTCGTTTAACTCTCAGAATACACCTGGCGGGTAGGGACTGTTAGCCCTTCCATCTTACAGCTGGAAGTGGGATATGAAAAGAAGTGTTTTGACTCTCAAGCCAGCACTCCTAATCATTACACTTACTGCTTCTCACAGAAAGAGACAGGAGGGAGTCTTGGATCTTGACTGTGTGTTAAATGAGGATGTAGTTTCTGTGTTGCCATTTGTTGGCCGTTTTGAATCTCCCTCCACTGAAAGTGTGGGCAGGAAAACCCAGACAGTCGAGGTGCTGTAACGGAGTGAAGCAGTGGGTTTCATAGGCGAGCTGGCCAGGGTATCCTGATTCCATGGGGAGCCACCAAAAGCCATCAGAGGGGGAGAAAGGCAACACTTTTGTGTCGGTTTTCCTAGCTTTTCTCGCCTGCCTCATCTCCCTGGCTTCATGTCCACACCCCTCCCCTCCAGGCACCTGAGGGTTTTCAGTCACCTCTCCTCTTCTCTGCTTTGTGGCTTTGGCCACAGAACGTGTTTTGGCGAGCGCTTACCTTTCCACGGGTTGTGTGTGTGCACGTGTGTGTATGTGTGTGTTGATTAAAGAAACGCTGACTTCAGACATCTGACGTTCATCTCTTTGGGTACTTCTTAAACTGTTACTAATTTTTATGTGAATTGACCTCAGTGGTGAAACCAAACCTAAAGGAGGGTTTCAGGCAGTGGCTAAAGGAACTCGTGACTCTCACTTTGCCCTGCGTTGGAGCTCGCCATGCTGACATCCTGGCTGTGGTGTCTGTGTCTGTGAACACGCCACAGTCCGTCCAGTCAGGACACCTTTTCCATTGCGGTCAGGAGGTCAGGAAGAGCAGCTCTGGGTTTTGACTTCTGACACAAGTGCCCATCCTGTTTCTGAGCCCTGCACAGGAGGGCAGGCCTACCCCGTGGGAGGGCCAGCGTTGTTGCTCGATTTCAAAGCTCGTGGCACAATCGAGAACATACCCAGGCGATACCTAGTCCACGTGTGGATCCCACTCTCTGTTTAGGTTCTTTCCCTCTTTTCTGTATGTTTAAAGTGTTCTTTCCAGAGGTCGGCATATTGCCCAAACAGTTACCGTTTTTCTGCGCGATATGTGGGTGGAGACCAGGAGATTCCACTTTTTAATGACTGAGTGAAATTAAAAGTCACCCCCGTGAGTGTGGGGATGAGCTGAATGGAAGTATGATGGCTTGGAGGCTCATGTGCCTTTGTTTTCCTTTCTGTAGACAGCATTATCCATGGAAATGAAGAAGCCTTTTACTGCAATTCTCACAACAGCCTGGACTTGAACTACTTAAATGGCACCGTTCCCAACGGCAGCGTCTGCAGCGTTCACAGCGTCAACTCCCTCAACTGCTCCCAGAGTTTCATCCAGGCGTCTCCCGTGTCCTCCAACCTCAGCATCCCGGGGAGTGACATCATGCGGGCTGACTACATCCCCAGCCACCGGCACAGTGCCATCATCGTCCCGTCTTACAGGCCGACCCCTGATTACGAGACAGTCGTGCGGCAGATGAAGAGGGGTGTTGTGCACACGGACAGCCAGAGCCAGTCTCTGAGGAACCTCAACATCATCAACACCCACGCCTACAACCAGCCGGAGGAGCTGGTGTACAGCCAACCCGAGATGCGAGAGAGGCACCCCTACACTGTCCCTTACGGGCTGCAGGGGGGCTACGGTAACAAACTGGTCAGTCCGTCTGACCACATGAGCCCAAAGAACCACATGGCGCCGAGCAAGCCCGGGGTGAGCGCCATCTCACACACGGTGAGCACCCCAGAGTTGGCCAACATGCGGCTCCAAAGCAACCAGAACTACAGCACAGCCCACATGCTCAAGAACTATCTCTTCAGGCCCCCGCCCCCCTACCCACGCCCCCGCCCAGCCACCAGCACCCCGGACCTGGCCAGCCACCGCCACAGGTACGTCAGTGGCAGCAGCCCGGACCTGGTGACACGGAAGGTGCAGCTGTCCGTGAAGACCTTCCAGGAGGACAGCTCCCCTGTGGTGCATCAGTCTCTGCAGGAGGTCAGCGAGCCCCTCACGGCCACCAAGCACCACGTGAACAAGCGCCACAGCCTGGAGGTGATGAACAGCATGGTTCGGGGCATGGAGGCCATGACGCTCAAGTCACTCAACATCCCCATGGCTCGCTGCAACACGCTCCGGGAGCAGGGGCCGCCGGAGGAGGTGCCGGGGGGCCCCGAGGTGCACCAGCTTCCCCAGTATCACCACAAGAAGACCTTCTCCAATGCCACGATGCTGATCCACAGCAGCGAGAGCGAGGAGGAGGAGGAAGCTCCGGAGTCCGTAGCGCAGATCCCCGTGGTCCGCGAGAAGGTGGAGTACAGCGCACAGCTGCAAGCAGCCTTGGCTCGCATCCCGAACAAGCCCCCGCCCGAGTACCCCGGCCCGAGGAAGAGTGTTAGCAATGGGGCACTGAGGCAAGACCAGGTTAGCCTTCCTTCTGCCATCGCCAGAGCCAGGGTGCTGCGGCACGGGCCCGCCAAGGCCGTCAGTGTCTCCCGCCCAGACCAGCTGGCCGTCAACGGGGCCTCCCTCGGCCCCTCCATCTCAGAACCCGACCTGACAAGCGTGAAGGAGCGGGTCAAAAAAGAGCCTGTGAAGGAGAGACCTGTGTCTGAGATGTTCTCCCTGGAGGACAGCATTATAGAGAGAGAGATGATGATCAGGGTAAGTGTCTCCTTCCCGTAGGGCGCTTTTCCGGGACAGTTACACGCTGCTCTCCCGGCGACTTTCTGGGCTGCTTCTCCACGCCTGAATTCACAGAGAAAACAAAGACACTCAGACACTGAGGAAGACGCGGGCCTGTTCAGGGAAATGTTCTGTGTTTAAAGGATCCTTTGACACTGAAGCAGGTAGGAATCCACGTCCCAAAACTTTGCTTTTATACCCGTTGCCGTCGAGTCGATTCTGACTCATAGCGACCCTACAGGACAGAGTAGAACTGCCCCATAGGGTTTCCAGGGAGCTGCTGGTGGATTCCAACTGCCAGCCTTTTGGTGAGCAGCCGAGCTCTTAACCACTGCGCCTCCAGGGCTCCCTTTGCTTTTAGCCCCTGGAAATCATTCTTCCATTTTTTATTCTTGGCCTCTAATGGGCACATGGGGCACAAACTGCTCTGAGAAGGAGCAGGTTAGTGGTGTGGAGGTCAGTGCTTCCATCAGTATTTTGCTATTTATTCAGAGCTCAAACTACTAATTGTGTGGCTGCTAGAAGCTTGCCTTCCTCCGTCTCTTAGTATTCTGTTTTTTTGAGGGGAAAGCTTTTTTTTCCAATTAGATATTATGTTCATTTCCTACAGCTGCTGTAACAAAGTACCACAAACTGGGTGGCTTCAAACAACAAAAATGTATTCCCTCCCAGTCCACGAGGCTAGAAGTCTGAATTCAGGGAGTCGGCAGGGCTGGTTCCTTCCTGGGGCCCTGAGGGAGAATCTGTTGCAGGTCTCTCTCCCCGTTCGTGGTGGTTGCCGGCAGGCCTCGACGTTCCTGGCCTTGTAGTTACATCACCCCAGCCTCCACTCCCGTCTTCACATGGCCTTCTTTCCTGTGTGTGTCTGTGTCTCGAAATCTCCCGCTCCTTATAAGGACACCATTCATTAGATTAGCGCCCACCCCATCCAGTCTGACCTCGTCTTGATGACATCTACAAAGACCCTATTTCCAAATAAAGTCACCTAAATAGTCACTGAAGGTTGAGACTTGGACGTACGTTCTTGGGGACACAGTTCAGCCCACAACAGATGAAAGAGCAGCAGCCCCGCAGAGAACAGCTTTCTGTATGTCATTATCACTCACCGCTGTTGTCTGGACCACGGTGCGTCCAGCTTTGCTTTCAGCTTTTTTTTTCAACAGATGTTTATCACAAATAAAAATTATGGTAATCGGATAGATAACTTGGAAGATTACCCTTGAGCTTCAGTTCCCCGTTGAGCTTCTATCAGAAACCCACACTCATGGGGGAATACTTTGAAAAAGGATAGTGGTAATGGTGGCATGACACGCTGAATGTAACCAACGTCACTGAACTGTACATGTAAAAACTGTTAACTTGGCAAACGTTTTGTTATATATATTTTTACTACTGGAAAACTCACATGAATACACACACACCCATACGCACAGGCACACACATATAACTTTTGAAAATGCAGCCTAATGCTAGACATAAATAACTGCTTTAGAACAGAGAGAGCCTGTCATGTTGTCGGAGCACACCTGTGCAGGTAATAGATACGTAGAGCAGCAAGGAAAATGTGTCTCTTGCTGATTTGTAGTTACTACTTATAAAAATATCAGAACTGCATTGCTGTTCATGCTGGAAGTTTCCACTCCCTTAAAAGAAAGTCATTTTGTTATAGTCAGTCAAGCCCAGATTGACTTCTGCTCCTTGTTCACTACATCTGTACCATAAGGGATCAAAAAACTCCAAACCTATTGCCATCAAGTGGATTCCAACTCATGGTGACCCTGTGTGTTACAGAGTAGAACTGTGCTTCATAGGGTTTTCTTGGCTGTAATATTTAAAGAAGCAGATTTCCAGGTCTTTCTTCCGTGGTGCTGCTGGGTAGGTTCGAACCACCAACCTTTAGGTTAGTAGCTAAGCAGAAACTATTGGCGCCACCCAGGGACTTATTTTAGGAAATCCAGAACAGTTGTAACGTAAAATTTGCTTTGACGGAGTTGATTAGCCTCCCTTAATTTTGAAGTCTTCCTCACCCACCAGTGGGAGTCTACCTGGGAAGAACAGTCAAGGGCCAACATTTTAAGGAAACCAAGTTCCTTTAGAAAAAACCTTAAGTTTAGAAAACTCTTAAGAACATTCTCAGCCTCACGGTTGTGGCCATCGATAAAGGAGTGCTAAGAATTTGGTGCAGGGCGTAACTTTTTCCACCTTTTGCAAACCTAAGGGGAAATAGTGAAAGATGTGCCTATGGCAAATAAAGGCCTTGGCGGGGGAATGGAATGAAGTGTGGGGGCGGGCTGCTGCCCGGGAGAGCTTTCCCAGCTTGGAAAAAGTACTTCGCTGGTATGAGGGGATTTTTCAGCAGTTCTTGGCCCCAGGTTTCTTAAAAGCAACATCGCATCAAGAACCTGTAAGTTTAAGGATTGAACTTCGACATTTCCCTGCTTACGGTCCCCTTTATTGATGCCCACGGTCCTGTGACCTCCCTTTGGGCCTGTTTGTCCTCTGCTCTCTCTCATTTCTTTGATTGATTTTTTTCCCCGAGTTTCCACTAGTTTTTTAATTGACGAAACTCAAATAGAATAATAATAACTGAGTGTAGTTTTATAACACCCGCTTCTCTTGTTACTCATATTAAACAGGGAGATTGTAGCCAGAATCACAGCCCTGGCCCCCTTCATAGAGTTTCTTGCATTATCATAAAGGAGCGCGGATTTTTCACAGTTTTTTTTTCTATCTGCTATTCTACCCCATTCACATGGATAGTGTTGTTGTTGGTGGGTGCCATCGAGTTGATTCTGACTCCTGGCGACCCCATGTGTGCAGAGTAGAACTGCTCCATAGGGTTTTCCAGGCTGTGACCCCTTGGAAGCAGATCGCCAGGCCTGTGCTCTGCGGAGCTTCTGGGTGGGTTCCAACCGCCAGCCTTCCGGCTAGTAGTCGAGCATGTAACCGTTTGCACCGCCCGTGGAACTTGGCTGGATAATAGTGAATAACAAATTTTACCTGTAATTTCAGGAACGTAATTAAGCCCATCTCTACTTTGTTTTCTCTGTTGATTTTTTTCCAAATCCCACACACTCGGTGGCTCAAGTTCTGCTACCTCTGCTGGCATCTGGACCTCGGAGTTGGACTGGGCATTTCCTTAGGGAGCCAGGATGCCAGGGCAAGATGGTGGCCCTGCTGGGACCCTGAAGCTCACGATGATTCTCCATCTTTTTTTTTTTTTTTTTTAACACATTAGAGTTCTTTTTACTTAATGATTTATTATGTAAAATATATATATACATACACACTATATATATAAACAAAAACCTAACCCGTTGCCATTGAGTCGATCCCAACTCATGGCGTCCCTATATAAGAGCCCCTGGGTGGCACAGACAGGTAAGCGCTCGACTGCTGACTGGAAAGTTGGGGTGTTTGAATCCACCCAGAGGCGCCCCAGAAGACAGCCTGGGCAATCTACTTCTGTAGGATTACAGCCAAGAAAACCCTACAGAGCAGTTCTGCTCTGAAACTCCTGGGGTCGCCGTGAGTCAGAACCAGTTCAATGGCAATGAGTTTAAAATACATCTATAGAAAACAACGTTGGCCAATCATTTTTTACATGTAGAATTCGGTGGCACTGATCCACGAGCTATGCTCAGCATGTTGTTTCCATCTGTGTTTTATGAGGAAGCTCACCCGAGATGGTTTGAAGTGTCCCCACACCTCAGACCCTGCACTGCCCTCCTCTCCCCTGCCAGCTTTTGCCTGGCTTGTTAGGGGTGGGTGGGAGGAGAAGGCTGCCCGGGACTCGCTGGGGTCCTGCTGGTAAGAAAACAATGAGAAACTTTACCAAATGGGACCTGGGGCTGCACGGGTGTGTGAAGGTTTACCCTGTGGGCCACTCCTCAGAGTTCTGGAGCCCCTAGTCCATTGGATGGGTGTTCAGGCCCGCTGCCTTTAGAGCTACTCCCCCTGCCCCTTGTCATTACTTACAGCCCCCTGACCAGAAGTCAGATGCAGGAAGAGAAAAGGCCAAATCATTTCTTCACGTTATTTGTTTTTATCTGCGATGCAAGCTGACGGGATAAGTGAGAAGGAGCTAGGAGAAATGGTTTGATTTATCACCGAGGTTTCGGTCTTCACTGCTGTCAGCTGCCTTCTCTGCGACCTCATGTACGACAGAATGAAACTCTGCCCAGCCCTGTGCCGTCCCTGTGATCCGTAGGGTTTTTATTGGCTGATTTTTGGAAGTAGATTGCCAGGCCTTTCTTCCTAGTCTGTCAGTCTGGCAGCTCCACTGAAACCTGTTGGGTGTCATAGCAGCACGCAAGCCTCCAGTGACAGATGAGTGGTGGTTGCACGTGAGGTACGTTGGCCAGGGATCGAACCCAGAGCTCCTGCAAGGAAGGCAGAATTCTACCACAGAGCTACCACTGTTCTCTGAGTTTTCCCTGGAGAGTTGGTGATCCTTTCCCGTTGGTTCCATTCCGTCTCGGGCCCGGTTAGCACCACCTGATAGTGCAGGTGGGTGGGAAGACAGAGGAAACTTGGGGAGGACCGCAGGACTGTTTCCTCAGGACTAGTGTTTCCTCAGAGCTTTGAGGGGGATGAAGCAGATTCCCAACTAAAAGGTGACAGAGATAAAAGGTCTTCCACACAAAAACAAACCAAGAAGAAAACAAATAAAACCCCAAACATTCACACCCACCCTCTCCCCCAGAGGGTGATCGAGAAACCACGGCCTCTCTTAGGACTGTCACCTTTTTGGGCTCCCGGTCCTTTGTTCCTTCTCTGACTCTGATTTTTCTCCTCTGAAATGCCCCTTTGTGTCTGACAAGGCCGCTCTGTCCCCGGAGGAGGCATCCTATTGCAGCCTCCGTCACAAGGAGTAGGGCTCCGTTCTGGCTGATGTGGAGATGTATGCGGGGGTAATGCTGTCTCCTCCACTCACAGTTAGAATGACCCAGTGACTGTGATCTGCCAAGCACTGTGGCCCAACAAGGTACCTTGCTGCAGAGTAAATTTATAAATGACAGAGTAAGGGAAAAAATTATCTAAAGGCTTGAAAAGAAGCCAGGGCTTAGACGACCCCATCATCTGGGGCAGCCAAGTGAACCTGCAAACTGGTTTCGTTTCAGTTTGGATGGAAATCTTAAAACTATCAGACTCATCTGTTTCTCTGCTTTATGAAGAAGTCGCTCTGTTCTTCACTTCTGAGGCAGAATTGTCTTTAGGAAGTGCTCCCACTGGCTTGCCTGAAGTCGGTAAGGAGAGCTGTCTCGTACCTCAGTCAGTTCAGAGGCATGGGAAGGACAGCGTAGACTCCAAAGCGGTGCCCTGATTGATCCCATGAAGAGTATAGGTACAGGAAGTCCCGCACTTACAGCGGGGTCTGTCCCGATGACGCCATTGTAAGTCGGTTCTGACTTTTTTTTTTAGTTTTCATTATTATTTCCTTTTATTGTCCATATCATTATAAATCCAGCACTGCTTTGAACAGTAAATCATAAAACTGAACATCTGTGAGTGATCATTTGAGAATGATACATCAGCAAATTACATGCTACAACATATTAGGATGACGTACAAAAAAAGTGGCTGGTCATTAAGTACAGTTAGTCTTAAGTGTGTTTTGTTGTAACTCAAATACGTTGTAAGTCGGGGACTACTTGTACAGGTGGGGAGAGACGGGACGGAAATTTAAAAAAAACAAGCCAGGCTTATAAACAGTAAAACCTTTCCCTCAGTGGTCTGCTGAGCCCCCAAATCCATGTTCCTCCCTAGCCGAGTCACATCCTGTGATGTCCCACCAGTCCCTGGGCACCATGTTGCCCTTTTGTCGGGGCCTGGCGTGGGAAGCACGAAGGGTAGTGGCTGATGGGAAGTCTCAGAAGATGCCATGCTCTGGTGGTAGCAAGTCTACGGAAGCACATGAGCTGTCATTCTAGGGTCCATACAGTAGTGACCCAAGGGCCAGAGGTTAAATGTAACATTGACATCATCAGTGTTAGCCCCTCAGAATGGACACTTGGGAAGGTTCTCCCTGCCACTTCTCTGCCTGGACCTCTCAGTCAACAACACACAAGCTGTTTGTTGTGTTTTGTTTTACAAATGTTGCGACATTCAGCCTGTGCACAAGGTCTGTCGTGGTGATTGGATTAGACTGTTCTTGAAATTGTTTCTCTTTTCTTTGGCCTGTCCTCCTCCAGCCCGTATTTTCCCAAAGTGTCTGCCAGATACCTTATTGTTTGTGAGTGCTGTGGCAGAGCATGTTTGTATGGAGGCTTTTCTCTGATGTATTTATGTTTAATAAAAGCTGAGGCGTCTTCCAGAAGCCGGCTTCTGCAGGCACAATGGGGCTAACGGAAGGCTGCATTTCAATTTGCCCGACCAATGGTGATTGTCTCCATTCCTTGGCCAGGGAGTTACAGGTTGGGGGAGATTAAAACACATTCCAGCATTCCACTGGTACTGCAAACAATGAGCACATGCCTTTTCTCGCCCCAAGAATCTGGAGAAGCAGAAGATGGCAGGCCTGGAGGCGCAGAAAAGGCCCCTGATGTTGGCAGCGCTCAACGGGCTCTCGGCTGCTCGGGTCTCAGGGCGGGAGGAGAGTCGGATTGATACCACACGAGTTCACATAGACGAGAGGGTGAGTGCTGGCCTTATCACACTGATTCCTTCTCTGTGGTCTTAGGATTCCAAAGCGCTGTCCCTGCCCAGACATGACAGCTCCAAGGTTCCTGTGATGAATGAATTCTTCAGTTTGAGATTAGGAAGATCCGGCCTAAATGTGCTGTATCAAACCAAGCCTTTTCAATATGTAATGTTTCGTTCCAGTTTTCCTGCTTGATCAAGGTGGTGCAGTGATAAAAAACCAGAAACCAAACCCGTTGCCGTCGAGTTGATTCCGACTCACAGCGACCCTGTAGGACAGAGGAGAAATGCGCCTCAGGGTTTCCGAGGCTGTAAATCTTTACGGAAGCTGACTGCCACAGCTTTCTCCTGTGGAGCGGCTGGTGGGTTCAAACCACCAAGCTTTTGATGAGTAATCTAGAGCTACTTGCCTAAAAAGACCAGCCTCTAGCAAGCTGTATGACCTTGGTCAACTCGTTCGATTTCTTTGGACCTGTTTCGTTTTTGCAAAATGAGGAAGTTAAATGATTGCTGTAATTCTCAAATTCTGTGATTTTTGTGAACAATTACCATGTCGTAGTATTTACAGAGTTCTTTTAACATGCTGTCTTCTCACATGGCTGTAAAGTATGGCTGATTTACAGTTGTTAGGATGACACTTTGTGAGAACTTTGATTTTGAAAGGCGAAGAGCTGTTGCATGGCAGTGTTTAGAGGTGAAAACAGCTGTTCCTTTAGTTCCCAGAATTGCTATTAGAAAGTTAAGAAGCAGGACGTGTAAATTTTATAAAATGCTAATAACATAAGGGTTTTACATTTCTTCCAGTATCTGTCAAATATTAGAATGTTTTTAGAGCCAGAAGAGACTTTAAAATCATCACTTAATTCAGTTAATACCATGTTATTGTAATTAGTAGTTTGGAACTCCCCCCCCAAAAAAAAAGGAGGGGAGGGTGTTAACTCAGAACTGTCGGACGGTGGACTGGTGTCATATTAAAATTTATCTCAGTAAACACAGCCATGACGGGGAGAAAAGGATGCTTGGGTAATTGAGATTAACAATCTCCTCTTGAAACAGAAGTGTTAATAACAAAAATATTGCTTCTGAATTTCAACTTTTGCCTGTTCTTCCAGATTTCTTCTGTTTAAGTTGTGAGTGAGACAGAAACTGGTTCTCAGACAGGAGAAGCAAGCAATGTGGGTAATAATGAGTGAAAAATCAAGTATTAGTTGTATGTCTTAAAATCCCTTCTTCACCCTGCCACTGTAAATAGTTAAAGACATCTGTTTGTTTTATTGGAACTTCTGGGATAAGATAATTCAGAGACCTGAAGATTGATCTCCTGTTGCAGTTCAGAACCCTGAAGAAGAAGCTGGAAGAAGGAATGGTGTTCACAGAATATGAGCAGATCCCAAAGAAAAAGGCTGATGGCATTTTCAGCACAGCAGCTCTCCCAGAAAACGCTGAGCGCAACCGAATCCGAGAAGTAGTCCCCTATGAGGAGAATCGAGTTGAGCTGATACCAACCAAGGAAAATAACACTGGTTACATTAACGCCTCCCACATCGAGGTAAGCAGGGGGCGTGTTGGGAAGGTTGTCAAGGACTGCTGGCTCGGAAGTAAAAATGTGGGAAGAGCAAATGTATGGGCTGCAGCTGTGCTTGCTGGCGTGCCTCAGGCCCCCAGGGAGTGATTTTAACACCTGTGCTTTCCTTAGCCAACTGGAAGGGCCTGTCGTTACTGCAGAGACAGGGAAGACCTCAGGTCAGGTCCTTCTGCAGCCTGTTTATTAGAGAAGATAGAACTTTTTCATCTCCCTGTGGGGTATAAAAACCAAACCAGTTGCTGTCAAGTCGACCCCAACTCATGGCACCCCATGTGTGTCAGGGTAGAGCTATGTTCCATAGAGTTTCCATTGGCTGATTTTTTGGAAGTCGATTACTAGGCCTTTCTTCCGAGCCATGTCTGGGTGGACTCAAACCTACAACCTTTTGGTTAGCTGTCCATCTGTTAACCATTCATGACATTCAGGGACATCCATGGGTTATAACTCTCCGTAAACTCACTGGAAAGACAGGATGACCCTTTTCAGTTTGTAATTAGCAGATGACGGAGACTTTGGAAATCACAGGTATTAATGTTGAACTTTTTATAATGTTCAACATCAACAGAAGCTATCAATTCTCCCTTGTGATACTACAGGTTGTATGTTTTACAGCTGTAGTCCCAATTTTGCCTGATATTTAGAGGAGTAGACTAATCTAAATGTAAACTGTAAAGGTGTGGTTGATATTGAATCTTACAAGAAGAAAAAAAAAATTGGACTTCTCAACTGTAGCAACATTCTTGGTAAATACCTGTGAGCCTCTAAAATGTAGTGAAGTATCTGGTGTCTCAGTTATCAGTGAAGTATCAGTTATAACTAATTTCGGTAGAGAACATGAAGAATACACTATGGTTGACTGTACTGTTTTTGTACACAGAACATAGATAACCACATTTTTTTCTAAGTATCAGCACAATCAAAAGAAACATAGAAGAAAAACAATCCTAGATTATATTGGTTATTTTCACTCTTTTTAAAAAATTGTAATTTATTTTGTTGTTGTTAAGAATATACACAGCAAAACATACACCAATTCAGCAGTTTCTACGTGTACAATTCAGTGATACAGATTACATTCTCCGAGTTGTGCAACCATTCTCACTCTCCTTTTCTGTGTTGTTCCTCCCCCATTAACATAAACTCACTGCCCCTAAGTTTCCTATCTAACCTTTTGAGTTGCTGTTGTCAGTTTGATCCCATATAGATAATTCTTAAAAGAGCATAATGCTCAAGGCAGACATTTTTACTAGTTAAGCTATTATTTGGTTTTAAGAAGACCTCAGGGGATATTTCTGATTTGAGGTTTAAAGATTATCTCAGGGCAATAGTTTCAGGGCTTCATCCAACCTTCATGGGTCCAGGAAGTCTGGAATCGAGGAGAATTTGAAATTCTGTTCTGCATTTTCCCCCTTTTGATCAGGATTCTTCTATGGGATCTTTGATCAAAATGTGCAGTAATGGTAGCCAGGCACCATCCAGTTCTTCTGGTCTCATGGCAAAGGAGGCAGTTGTTCATGGAGGCAATTAGCCACACGCTCCCATTTCCTCCTCCTATTCCTGACTCTCCTTTTTCCTCTGTCACTCTTATTTTTGAGAGCAAGAACTAAAAGAATGAACTCCAGGAAACTCTGAAATAAACTAGTGGTGGTGTGTCCTCATGGGCTTAGTTTAGATTATGAAACAATGAGCAAAATACAGTACTCAAAAAAAGACGCAGATCACACAGCTGCTATTTGATTGTCTGTGGCAAACTTACATTACAGTATTTTATCGTACTGTCTCCCTTTGCCCAAATCTTCTCCACCATTTTCCATCTGCTCCCGGGAAAAAGCTGTCAGTCTGCATAAACTGTGCCCATTGGGTATTGTTAACAGAGCGGCATGCCCTTCCTCAGTGTTCTCCAACACCCACGTTTCATCTTGTGGATCCAGGTAGACACGGGTGTGTTTAATAGACCCACAGAGCTCACAAGAACTTCTTGTCCTTTTGGAATAGAGTCGCGTTTCTTGCCAATGTTTTCTCTCTGGGTTCCGAGTGGCTGTTAACAGAGAACAAAGATTTATTTGCTCCAGAGGTGGAATCACATCTGTGAAATCTACCTCAGCCGCACTGGTGGTTGTGTTTGTAATGCAGTTTTTAATACCCTCCTGTCAATACTGGGAATTTGCTGAAAGGCCCCAGGCAGCAGCGTTCTCTGGGAGTATTTATGGTTCCTATATGTCGGGTGCCAGAGAGGCTGATGTTTAAAATCACAGCTCCACAGATAAACCAAATGCATAGCCAGCAAATATACGAATGTTTTCTCCCACCAGTACTTGGAAAATGGATTTTGCTTGCCAGCTTTGGCCTGACATGTCTTGTTTAATGAGACAATAAGTGGCATTGTTTTTGTTTGAATCAAGTTAGTATATAGTTTCATAAAATAGAGGAGGAAACAAGGTTTCAAACAATGATCACTTCATTGCCCCTAGAAGGCTGTAGAGATCTGTATGGGGGGGATGTGTGGGGGCCCTGGCTGCAGGGTCAAGGCACAGAAACGCAACCGGGCACAGAAGGTACCCCCAAAGGCCACCATCTTGCCCTGGTCACATCATCAGCCCTCAGGCCCAACATTTGGTTTACGCATCTCAGCAGCTGGTCTTTTTAGCTACAGAGCCAGCCTCCTGAGGTCACCTGGGCTGCATGGGTAATTGTTTTATTATCCAGAACCGTCTCTGGATTCAGAGAATAGGTGAGCTTGGACGCTGCGGCAGTGCGCGAGGTGCGGTTATTCATAAAGTGTTATTACGTACTCTAAGTGCATTCGCGATGCCCCTGCCACACGTAGCATTGCAGAGCAGCCCTTACGGTGAGGCTCATCACGCATGTCCTGTCAGCCAGTGGCGGAAAGATAGTCTCCAAAAGGCACGTTACTCCATGGGAGACGTTTTTAATTGTTTAAAAGGATGCCATAGAGAAGTGTGTCTCAAAGCGTGGGTCACAGCATGTTAGTGGGATATGATGTCAATTTAGTATTCATAACCAGTTTTTTTAAATTAAATAGACTAGAGTAGAAAGTATCAGAGTGCATTACACGTAGTAGATGTAACTGTTATTCATATAACAAGTAAATCCTGTTAGCGTATAAACCAAAACCAAACCCGTTGCCAGCGAGCTGATTCCGACTCCTAGCAACCCTATCGGACAGAGTAGAACTGCCGCATAGGGTTTCAAAGGCTGCAAGTCTTCACAGCAGCAGACTGCCACACCTTTCTCTCGCAGAGTGACTGGTGTGTGTGAAACACCGACCTTTTGGTTAGCAGCCGAGCATTTACCTGTTGTACCACTAGGGCTCCTTTGTTAGATTATAAATGTATATATTCATATAATAATGCGTGTATGTGCACATAGACTTTTATGTGTATGTATGTGTACACACATGCATACGTACACACATATGTATGTTATTGTGTGTATGTATATATATATGTACACATAATGTGTATAAGGTAATAATGTAACATATATATGTTATGTATGTGTGTATATATATATACATGCACATACACACATAAATGTATGTTATGTATGTTTGCATATATCCACACACAAATATGTGTGTATGCATATATACATACACATAAATGTGTATATGTTGTTTGTATGTGTGTATATATACACATGCATACATACACACACGTGTATATTATGTTTGTGTGCATTTGTATATATACACACACATAAATGTGTATATATGTTGTGTATATAAATACACATAAATGTGTATGTTATTGTGTGCGTATATATACATGCATACATACAGGCACAATGTATCTATGTGATGTGTATGTATACATGTATACATGTGCAGACTTATACATGTATGTTGTGTGTATATACATGCACACACATACATGCATGTTATGTGCATATATACATGTATGCACACATACAAGTATGTATGTTATTTGTGTACATGCATACATACACACAGACACATGTATATATATGTTATGTGTGTATGCATACATGCACACACAGACACGTGGATATGTTGTGTGTGTATATATACATGCATACATGCCCACACAGACACATACATGTATATATATATGTTGTGTGTATATATACATGCATACAAGCACACAGGCACATGCATGTGTATATGTTGTGGGTGTATATATATACATGCATACATGCACACAGACATGTATGTATATGTTGTGTGTGGATATGCATACATGCACACGTATATATGTTGTGTGTATATATGCATGCATGCACACAGACGCATGTATATATGTGTTATGTGTGTATATATACATGCACACATGTATATGTCGTGTGTATATATACATGCATACATGCCCACACAGACACATACATGTGTATATATATATATGTTGTGTGTATATATACGTGCATACAAGCACACACAGACATGTATATATATGTTGTGTGTGGATGTGCATACATGCACACGTATATATGTTGTGTGTATATATGCATGCATGCACACAGACGCATGTATATATATGTTATGTGTGTATATATACATGCATACATGCCCACACAGACGCATACGTGCATGCATGTGTATGTTTTTACCGTGCACGTTCATGCGGTGCGTCACAGACCGAAGGCAAAGGGCAGTAAGGCGTTTAATAGGCTTGGACAGCAGAAGTGCTTTCATCTGAGAACATTAGCAGCCACCCACGCTGAGTGTTTCTGATAATTGCGCTGACCCAGATTTTGCCCCCAAAAATAATATCCAAGATTTCAAAGTGGTGAGAAAGGAACATATGCCCAGCAGTTAACTCTGTCCTGGATGGGCTTCATTTACTGACACTTTCTTTGTTTTCCAGGTGGTGGTCGGTGGGGCCGAGTGGCACTACGTTGCCACGCAGGGGCCCCTGCCACACACGTGCCATGACTTCTGGCAGATGGTGTGGGAGCAGGGAGCAAACGTGATCGCCATGGTCACTACAGAGGAGGTGAGGGCGTGGTCCCCAGCCAGCCTTTGGCCGGGGGAAGGGGCAGCTGAAGACCAGCTTCGTGTCGGTGGCCCTCCTGCTCCATCCTCCTTCCGCAGTGCTGTTTCTCTACACGTCCTTCCCTCCCTGGCGTACATCTGTTCTCTCTTCTCATTCCGTATAGATTCACTTCTTTTCCCAGAGGTAGTTTATGTTGCGTGACCCGTTTCCATCAGCTTTTAACTCTTTTCTTTGGACTGCCGTTAACTACAATAAAAAAAAAAAATTTTAAACAAAACAAAGCAGCGGTCTTTCCACTGGCGTTGGAGAGCCCCAGGCTGCTCGGGGAAGCGGACATGATCTTCCCAGCCCTGGGCTTGGCCAGCCCCACGTGCCATCGCGCTTATCAGCTGAAAAGAGACCAGAAGTGTTGTTCCTGTAGAGGTCTCTATTCTTTAGGGAGGGAAAGAAAACCCTTTCTCCTCCTTTGCCAAGCCAAACACAGCTTTCCTGTTGTAACTGGAGACCTCTCTGTGGCACTGTAAAGACTGCACCCACAACCACTGAGCTGCTGCCGCCGAGGGAGAAGTGTTATCTTTCCTCTCTTGTCACACTCTCAGCTTTTTTTAACCACCGCCCTTTGTTCCTTGATGAAACCCCAGATTATGTTTTGAAGTCATTTAAGGAACCAGCTTCGTGCATTTTCCCAGTATCTCTGGTGTCTGTGATACTGCATACTCCTTTCCTGACCATTTTAAGGGGGGTGGAGAACAGAGAGAATTGAGAAAAAGTCCTCTGCTCTTCACGGACTGTTCTGAGCACTTGTTTTCCAGAACAGCTCATCAGACAATAGTGGTGAAAGGGACTTCAGGCTCTTTAAAGCCAGCCGTGCTTCTCTGGGCCGACCTGCCCCCAGAGAGGAGTCCTCCTTGACATCTCTAGAGTAGACTTCCAACCTCATACAATCACGTCACCGCACAGGATGAATAGAGCACACCATCTGTCTGAACCTAGGGCGCAGCCCTCGCCCCCATGGAGCTTATGTCCCAGTGGAAGAGGCAGGAAAAAGTGAACAGATGAAGTGAGTTCAGATAGTGTTGGCTGCCGTGGAGAAAATGGAATACGGGAAGGGTAGAGAAGGAGCCCTGGTGGTGCAATGGTTAAGCGCTCCTCTCAACAGCAAGTGCCCCAGAGCTTGCTCTCACCACCTCAGCTGTGTGCTTAGCAGGGACGGATTGCCCAGTAAGCAAGGGCTTATTTGTGCTTACTTACTAATCTGTAGTGTACAGTTTTCACAATTAAGCTGTGGTGAAACCCACGTGACATCGTGCACTGCAGATTAGTACGTCCGCACAAGGAAGCCGTGCGTACCTTGCTTAATGTAAGCCCGTGCACACCCTGCTTGCTGGCTGGTCTGCCCCTGGTGCTCAGCATTCCTCTGTTCTCCTCCTCAGTCCCTCCCTTGGGGCTCCTTCTCAGCCACATCCCCTCCACCCTCGCATGCCAATCCAGGGATTTCAAAACTGCGAAACTTAAAAATGGACCCCATTTCGTAAATGGTTGAGAACACGCATGCTCTGAAAAGATAATGAGAGAATGAAAGGTGGGCCCCCAGATCGTCTCTGTGGTAGGAGGGAAGGAACCCTGGGCTGATGTCTGCAACTAGGATTCCTGGACTGGCCGTACCACTCACTATTTCTGCAATGTCGGGGCTTGCCCGGCTCTCCCTGTAGAAACATGAGAAGCGTGGCCTAGAACAGATGCTGGAGTCTGTCGTTCCCCTTTGAAACCTGTGAATGGCTTCCCATTGGACCTGGAGTAGACTCGAAGCTCCTCACCATGGACCGTGAGGCCTTCCCGTCCCCTCACTCACCTCACTACAGTGACACTGATGACATTCCTATTCCTTGAGCACACCAAGCTTGTTCCTGGTTCTGGATGTGGCACCTGCTCTTCTCTTTAATATTCAACTGCAGCTCAGTTGTGAATCTTTTAGATTTTCCATTGATGTAGTTGTCATTGTAAATCTTTTTAGTCTTAGCTAGAATTTATAGGATCTGCCATTGCGGTAGACACTGCCCAGTGCCCGTGAGTTAGAGACCCAGAGGCTGTTTGCGTTTTCCTTCGTCCTCAGATGTTAAGGTTCAGAGGATAAGAACTGCCCCTGACCTATTTCCAATTTTGCTTTTGTATGTGATTTAGGAGGGCGGACGAACCAAGAGCCACCGATACTGGCCCAAGCTGGGCTCCAAGCACAGCTCAGCCACCTATGGCAAGTTCAAGGTCATCACAAAGTTCCGAACAGATTCTGGTTGCTATGCAACCACAGGTTTGAAGGTCAAGCACCTTTTGTCTGGGCAGGAAAGGACAGTGTGGCATTTGCAATATACCGACTGGCCGGATCACGGCTGCCCAGAGGACGTCCAAGGATTCTTGTGTAAGTTTTGTCTTCCCGTTCTGGTCTTTGCCAACTGCATCAGTGGTCTCTTGGTTGGGGATGAAATGAAAAGAGAGGATGGTTTCTCTTCGGTAGCAAAACTATTATAATAGTGACATATATGTCCCTTCATTACGTGTAGCACGGAGGAGAATAATGTGTCATGTAATTTAATTTTATATTTTGTATGCCTTTTCTGTAAATAAGCTAAAACTGCATTCAACTAATTGGTTCTACCTTGATTTAGACTTCTGATGACTCATTAATAAATAACTTATTTTGGATTTCCCATGGAGGCTTGCGCATCACAAGCCCGCCATTTTCTTACGACAGTAGATCTCAGTACTTTCTCATGCCTGTGATGAAGATACTACGAATTGTTGAATCAACTTGTAGGTTTTGAAACTGAAATGTGCTCAGAAGACTAATTCATAAATGTATATATTTTTTCCGGCTATGGTTATTTTAGAAATTAGTTTACCCAGATCATATGTAGTATGTGCATTTGAAAGGCCAAACATTTGGTGTGTGCCCGCTCTGCAGGGCACTGGATCAGGCTCTGGGAATGCAGAGAAGAAATAGGGTTCACGGTCTTTGTTTTGAAGGTGTTCGTACTCTGGTGACGTAAGGTTAAGTGCTCGGCTGCTAACTGAAAGGCTGGCAGTTCAGACCCACCCAGCTGCTTGGTGGGAGGAAGACCTGACAGTCTGCTCCCACAAAGATTGTTGTTGTGTACCACTGAGTCGATTTCAACTCATAGCGAGCCTATGAGATAGAGTAGAACTGCCCCATAGGGTTTGCTAAACTGGAATCTTTACAGGAGGAGCTCGCCAGGTCTTTTCTCCTACAGAGACGCTGGTGGATTCGAACCGCCAACCTTTCTGTTAGCAGCCGAGCATTTAACCATTGCACTACCAGGGCTCCTTGCAGTAAAGAATACAGCCTTAGAAAACCCTATGGAGCCGTTCTGGTCTGTCACATGCAGTTGCTGTGAGTTGAAAATCGACTTGACCAACAACAGCAACGCAGTCTAATGGGAAAGGAGAGCGGTACTGACAGTCCAGGGTGAGAGCTGATTCTGTCATCCTGCTTTGTCATGAAGACTGCAGCTTTCGCCCTTACTGCAAACAATAAACAGTTGCCATTGAGTCAGCTCCAACCAGGGCAACCCCACATGTGTCAGAGTAGAACGGAACTCCAGAGGGTTTTCAGTGGCTAATATTTTGGAAGTAGATCTCCAGGCCTTTTTCTTTTGAGGCACCTCTGGGTGGACTCGAACCTCCAACCTTTGGGTTAACAGCCCAGCACGTAAATGGCATCACCCAGGGACTGCTACTCCTACAAGCTTGCCTGAGTTTCTTCGCTTGTGGAGAAACCCCATTCCTTACCCCATCCAACTAAGAAGGAAGCCTGGGCAGCAGATGTTGCTGATGGCTGTACAGCGTGAGTGATGTAACGGTGGTGAGGAATTATACACGGGAAAAATGCTGAATTGGCAGATGGAGTGTTATCTGTATTTTTACAACAACAACAAACAAGGACCAAGGGGAAAAAACAAAAAGGCGGGGGGTGGTAGGGAGGCTGCGTTGGGCTTCTTTGCAGATTTAGTCCCGCTGTGCCGTTGACCCTCCTGCTGGCAGGAGACCAGGTGACCTGTGCAGGTCCGTCCTCCAGGTGGAGATGTTGGATAATGTCACAAACTTTATATGCACTTAGAATGGGGTGGGGAGAGGAAGAGAAGGAGAGAAAGAATAGGTTTTCAGGTACCTAAAAGTACGATTCTATCAGTTCCAGCAGAAAAATTCTGCTGCATACTTAGCAATATTTCATTTCCCATTAATATGATGATGGCGGTTGGAGACTAGATGTAGAGTGTGGCAGTGATGGTCGGGATCAGAGAATTCACGACGAGATCTAGTGAGGTTTAGTGATTGGCCTGAGACCTGACAGCGGTGACCTATAGCTAAAATCCTAACGAGGAAGACAGAGGCTTTTACAGAACCTTCTTTGCTCATAACAGTGCCGTTTTTCTTCCTTTCTGCTAATTTTTCACTCATTGATGTATTGAAATTTTCTCCAAGAGGCAGAAGATGGGAACAATAAAAGTTGATTGGTTTGATGATTGGCTAACAGCTCGGGTAAAAAATTTGAAGCGTATAAGGTGGTTAAAAGTGTAGTCAGATCTTTTTAACCTGAACTAACTTGTGGTTAGCTGCCGTCCGGTTGGCTGCTGACCCATGGCGGCCCCACACAGAGGGAGCAAAACTCGGCCTGGGGCCTCCCCGATCCCGTGTTTGCTTGCCCATCAGACCGTTGTCATCTATAGGATTTTCAATGGCTGGTTTTCAGAAGCGGATCACCTGGCTAAGAGCCATGAAAACCCGTAGCCATTGATTCGATTTGAAATTACTGAAAAATATGGAGAATATTTTTAAAGAATGTAAATTTGTTAATTTATGTTTCCCAAAATCTCAGTAGAAGTGTGCTGTGTGGGACCTCAGAGGCGTTGGCTGTCGTTTCTTCTAAGCTTTTAAAGTTTTTTTTTTTAAGAAAGGAAACAAGAAGGTTATTTATTTAAGAAACATTCTCGTTAAGTCTTGCTACGTTACGTGTGTATGTGTACGGAGCCCATAGCTTGCTTTTGTGCCGGCTTTCAGCTGAAGTGGATTACGTTTACAGCAAGATAATAATCCTGGATTTTCCATGGCTCACCCTGTCGGAGTATAAGATTAGCTCTTGAATTCATTAACAGTCGTCTCCTTTTAAATGTCAAATAACTCTTTTCTTTTCTTTTTTCCCCCCTTTCCACCCCGGGTTCCCTGTGTCCGTCTGACCAGTTCCTGTCCCTTCCTGCCTTCTCATCCAGCTTTCGGACAGGTGCCGCCCATTTGGTCTCATATACCTGATCGAACTAAGAAAGAAGCACATTGCTCACGTGTGTTATGTTTTGTTTTATAGTCCTATCTAATCTTTGTCTGAAGAGTGGGCTTCGGGAATGGTTTCAGTTCTGAGTTAACAGTGCATCCGTGGGCCATGGTTTCACAGGTTCCTCCAGTCTCCATAAGGCCATTAAGGCTGGTCTTTTTATGTGAATTTGAGTTTTGTTCTCCATTTTTCTCCTGCTCTGTCCGGGACTCTCTGTCATGATCCCTGTCAGGGTGGTCATTGGTGGTAGCTGGGCACCATCTAGTTCTTCTGGTCTCAGGCTGGTGGTCTCTGGTTCATTTGGTCATCTAATATTTTCCTTGTGTCTTTGATTTTCTTCATTCTCCTTTGCTCCAAGTGGGATGGGACCAATAAATGTATCTTAGATGGCCGCTTACAAGCTTTTAAGACCGCAGACACTACTCACCAAAGTAGGATGTAGAACATTTTCTTTATAAACTGTGTTATGCCAATTGACCTAGATGTCCTCTGAAACTATGGTCCCCAGGCTAAACTTTTAAAGAGATTTTTGCTCATGTGTTTATTACCTGGGTGCAGAATACCTAGGTTAAATTGTCTTCCACCCTCAGAAGTCTTCATTAAGTTGTCATTTGAGAAACTTTATGAATCCTGTTGGCAGAGGAAGCATCCATTGGAACCACTTTATCTGCCTTTGATGAAACCCCATCTGAAAGAGGCATCTACTATGTGGCCTAGCGTCCCTTTTATTTTTCTTCTTAAACTTAGTGCAGTGTGAACATTGCCATTTTGTCAAACAGAGAATACGTCATCCCCTAACACCTTTTCCCCCTTGTATAAAAATTGTGAAAACAACTCTGCACGGAAGTATTTCGCTCATGTTGGTGCCCAGTAGGCGCTACGCTCTCTGTTCATCTCAGGGCGTTTATCGTCCCTCTCGATTTGTGGTGTTGGATCTCATGTTATGGTATTATTATTATTAATTTATTTTGGTAAATTACTTCCTGTTAGTTTATAATTAGATAATGTTATAGTGGAAAATATGGCTGCTTATTAATTGCATGTAAACAGATGCTTTTAAATTTCGAGAATGGCTCCAAACACTCTTTTTTCTTCGACAACGTGAGCATTTCCCTGCAGCTTTATTTACACTTTTGTCCAAGATGAGGCTTGCAAATATCCAGATCCTTCACACTGGTTCCTCCCCTGAGCTACTGCAAAATCTCAGCTAATAACTGACTTCTTCCAGCTTTTAGACAATCCGTGGATTACATGGACAGATTCTTTTCTCTTTTTTTGTGATCATGATATGCTCGTATTAACGCTTGTATCACTGTACTTGGAGTCATGAGCAGACCCCCGTGCAGCCCAGCTGAGCCGGGCAAATGTTGGGAGGATGGGGGTGGCCCGACCCCCTGCACCCCACACTCCTGTTGTCTGTAGATGGCAGCTCATCCTGAGCTGCTCACTGTAGACCTGTTGGAACCACATGGAGTCCATGCAGAGAAGCAGGCTCCCCAAGGTCTCTTGTAAAGCCTAGAGATACAGTCCAGCCTCAGGTGACATTGACTTATTTGGGGCGGGAGAGGAAGGGGGCAGATGGATGAGCTCTTCCCTCCAGAAATTGGCTCTGACAGGCGGGCGTTTCAAGGGGACTTGGTGCTGCTCTGATCCCAGCCTGTTAATAGGAGAAATTGCTGTAAGTAACATCTAGAATCATCTGCTTGGGGGACTTTGGGGTTTGCAGAGGGGAAAGCAGAATTTAATTTAAAAAAAAAAAAAACTATTTAATTTAAAGAACAAATTCTCCCATGAACTAATTGACTCCCAGCTGGTCCTTTACGGGATCCAGAACTAGACAGTGGGTACCAGCCAAATAATTAGTGTCTTGTAAGAACTGTAAATTACTGTCACTTAAAAAAAAAAGAGACTCAGCAGCCATTTTTCCCCCCTTGCTTTTATGCAAAGCCATGGAGGACTTTGGTGACAAGATTTGCATTGTGTCTTGCAGCCTACTTGGAAGAGATCCAGTCGGTCCGTCGCCATACCAACAGCATGTTGGAAGGTACCAAGAACCGGCTTCCTCCCATCGTGGTCCATTGCAGTGCCGGGGTGGGCAGGACGGGCGTGGTCATCCTCTCAGAACTGATGATCTACTGCCTGGAGCACAATGAAGTAAGTCATCCTGAGCTTCTCTCTGAATACCCCACGCTGGGGACACACTGACACAGTGGCCAAGCTGTTGCCTTGCCCTTTCTTTTCCACTGGCTCATTTCCTCCCTCCTGACAGGAGTTTTCTAGATCCAGGATTCCTCATCTGGCATCTGACATTGCCCCTTGTTGCTCTGGGTAGGTGCCCAGATACACAGGGGAGGAAATGAGAGTGTCAGGTCGGGAGCATTTGGAGAATCCGGTCCTAGTCAGTAGCTCTGTTCAGAAGTCTGCAGACCGTCTGGCTTTATTGTGGGTGGTTTTCCATGGTGGGTTATTTGGTTGCATGTAGTTTAGATGCATTTCTAGGATGTGTTTTGGCCTAAATCTGATGTAAAAAATGTACAGACTTTGAAAGTGTTTTTGGTTCTTCAGAGTTAGGTTTTTATTTAAAAGGGGTTATTTGCTCTAGTCTAGACCTGGCAGATGTGTGGCGCAGCAGACTAGGTAGATCATCATCACCTGAGCACGTAGACCTGGCAGATGTGTGGCGCAGCAGACCAGGTAGATCATCATCACCTGAGCACGTAGACCTGGCAGATGTGTGGCGTAGCAGACCAGGTAGATCATCATCACCTGAGCACGTAGA